TCGTCAAACTGTCAGATGACTGTGGTTACAAGAGAGGCCAGTACACCCACCAGATTGCCAACCCACAGAATCATAAGACTCAACCAGCTCCCCGTTACACGCAGCCACTAAGGTTTGGGGTGGCTTGGTATACAACCACTAAAGCTCAAATAATTATTAACACAGTTAAAACGAAGGTTCCCTATTGAACCCACAGCTATAAAGAGGATTTCAGCATGACCCGGGATGACAGCACTTTCTGGAGGATTTACCGAAACACCTCGTACCGTGTCCTCAGCTCATTCATTAGGACATTGGAAGCCCAATTGTGCTTTTGCTTTTATTTGCTCATTAAATATTTGACCACTGTTTTCCACATAAAAGGAAGAACTATCTTTAGCACTGAGGACACAGATAAATCTGGCACAACAATGTCTTCTAAGAAGTCCCAGGACAACAAAGGAGGTAGACAAGAGCACTATTGTATTCATGCAGCAAATATTTGCATACCAGGCACTAAGTTAAGGCCTGGGAATACAAGGATAGGAAAGTCACAAGTCCAGACCTCATGGTGTCAGAGTCCAGCTGGGAGGGGGACGTTAATAGAAGGAAAACGGATCAACGTATACTTGGAAATGGTCTCAAAGATATTAAATACTATGAAGAAGTACCTGCAATGCTCTGGGAGAAAAGTAATCTGGTGGGAAGAGGCTAGAAAGGTTCAGTTGAGGAAGCACCTTCCAATTTGGACTTGAGGGACTTCCCTGGTGGTCCAGGGGTTAAGAATTCGCCTTGCAATGCAGGGGACTCAGGTTCAGTCTCTGGTCAGGGAACTAAGATCCCACAGGCCACGGAGCAGCTAAGGCCACGTGCCACAACTAGAGAGGCCGTGCGCCACAACAGAAGATCCAGCAAGTTGTAGCGAAGATCTTGTGCACCTCAGCTAAGCCCTGACACAGCCAAATACATAAATAAATATTTTTTAAAAAAAGGATAGGTGAAGCACCTGGTCAAAGGGTAGAGGACAAATGTTCCAGCCCGAGGCAAGAGTATATCTTGGTGGTTCTTACCAGGAGCAGTTCAGTTAACCTAGAAAACAACTCTATTTCCCATTTAAACACAGACTGGCTTTTGCATGGTTTAAACACACCAAATTTTCCTGGAATGCAGTGACCGTGCAAACTGAGAGAAGGCTGAGCTGGACTCTGCGTGGGGGATTCCAAGGGTCATTCTTCTGGAACATCAGTACTGGCAGCATCTCCAGTCACCGTGCTGGTGGTACACGAGGGATCAACGCCCCACACCTAGGTCTCCCTGCGTGTGCAGCCGTCACCTTCACAGAGCTTCTACCTGTTCAGTTCAAGCCCCGGGCTACTTCACTGGGTCTTCCAGCATTGTACATGTACATACAATTTTCTTATAAATTACTTTTCACTTATTCTCCTCTGTTTTAGAGCTTGAGAATTACATGCATGTGTTTTCACTCTATGAGCAGGTTATGTTATTTGTGAATTTCATTTCAGGATATACAATGAGGCACTGGGTCTGATTAAGGTTAGAATCACAGGCATCTTTAAGACCTTCCATTTGGACTTTCTTGGTGGCTTAGTGGTACCGAATCCGCCTGCCAATGCAGGGGACACGGGTTCGATCCTTGGTCCAGGAAAATCCCACAGCCATCAGAGGTTAGAGCCTGGAGACTCAGGAGCAGCATGGTACCAGAAGAGATGAGGGGAGGATGTGAGGAGATAAGACTCCTCAGACACTGCTGGGGGGGATGGGAGATGGTAGAGTCGGGCAGTCCCTCAAAGGTGAAACAGGGAAAGTCATCCAAATGAGCATTCTACCGCTAGGCACACACTCTACGAAACACAAGGTCAGCCAAATACCTAAACAGATGTTCACAGCAGCATTGTTCATATTAGCCAAAAACAAGGAACAGCCAAAATGTCCATCAGCTGGAGAACGCATAAACAAAATGTGGCGGAATATTATTCAGCCACAGAAAGGCGTGAAATACTGATCCATGTTATGACGTCGATGAACCCTGAAAATCACATGCTAAATAAAAGAAGCCAGACACAAGAAGCCACATATTGTACAGTTTATATGCACTATCAGAATAAGTGAATCCGTAGAGACAGGAAGAAGATTCAAGGTTGCCATAGACTGGGGCCGAGGAGGCCGTGGAAAGTAACTGCCAATAGGCCCGGGGTTTCTTTGGAGGGTGATGCAAATATTCTGGAATTCAATAGTGGTGACAATTGTACAGTTCTGTTAATATAGTAAAAACAAAAAAATACTGAACTGTAGACTTTAAAGGGATACATTTTATGGCATTTGAATTACATCACAAATAAAACAAAAGGACAAGCTTCAGAGGTAGACAAGGTCGCCCCTCTCAAGGCATCATAGTCCCGTCACTGAAGGTTTTAGGCATCACTAACTACTGCATGGATCACAGCCTTGTTGTGGGGAAGGGGCTTGTGTAGCTCACTAAAGCTATGAGCCATGCTGTGCAGAGCCACCCAACACAGATGGGTGATTGCGAAGAGTTCTGACAAAATGTGGTCCATGGAGAAGAAAATAACCCACTCCTGTATTCTTGGCTTCCCAAGTGCTTCAGCGGTAAAGAACCTGCCTGCCAATGCAGGATCTCCTGCAGGAGACGCGGGTTCAATCCCTGGGTCGGGAAGGTCCCCTGGAGAAGGAAATGGCAACCCACTCCCGTATTCCTGCCTGAGAAATCCCATAGACAGAGGAGCCTGGTAAGGCTACAGTTCATGGGGTTGCAAAAGAGTCGGGTACAACTGAGTGACTAAGACTTTCCTGTATTCTTGCCTGGAGAACCCCATGGACAGTATGAAAAGGCTAAAAGTTATGATGCCCGAAGATGAGCACCCCTCCCCAGGTCATAAGATGTCCAATATGCTACTGGGGAAGAAAGAAGGACAATTACTAGGAGCTTCAGAGAATGAGGTGACCGGGCCAAAGTGGAAACAACGTCAGCTCAGTAGTGAAAGTCAAGTCTGATAAGATGGTTAGATGGCGTCACCAACTCGGTGGACAGGAATTTGAGCAAACTCTGGTAGACAGTAGAAGACAGAGGAGCCTGGCATGCTATAGTCCATGGGGTCACAAAGAGTTGGACATGACTTAGCAAACAAACAACAAAAAATGACAATATAGGTGTGCTTTTGAGAACGATATCTGGTGAAGAGTGGACTGGAGATGGGCAAAGGTGGATGGCCTTTTTTTAAAGATTTGTTTGATTTATTTTTGGCTATGTGGGGTCTTTGTTGCTGCGTGCGGGCTTTCTCTAGTTGTGGAGAATGGGGGCTACTCTCTAGTCACAGGGCATGAGCGTCTCGTCGACGTGGCTTCTCTTGTCAGGAAGCGTGGGTTCTAGGGGCACAGGCTCGGAGGTTGCGTTGCAGGGGCTTAGTTGTTCTGAGCCACACGGGATCCTCCCAGACCAGGGATCAAAGCTGTGTTCCCTGCACTGGCAGGCAGATTCTTCACCACTAGACCACCAGCGACGCTCAAAGATGGATGGTTTTGGAGCCGAGGAGGAGTCAGGTATCTGGAGTCACACCTGGCTTGGGACCCGATCAAACTGAGGAGTCAGAACCCCCCTTGGGGATACTGGAAGCCAGCATGTTGACAGTCATTTTCTAGAACGGCCGTCACAGAGGTACAATCATGCTCGAGGAGGCAAGAGCTGGGGGAAATTGCTTGTGACTGTTGGCATCTGGGAAGGCGTTTTGGAAGAGGTGGTCTTTGAGCAGAACGTTGCAGTTGGTTTAGGTCAGGCTAAGGTTCTAAGAGCCTGCTAGGAAGAAGGAGTCATATAAGCAAAGGTGTGGATCCCAGCAGTGCCCAGGTTTGACAGAGTTCTGTTTAGCCCAATCAAAAGGGGAATAAAAATTGTAGTAATGCATTAGTCAGGGCTCTCCAGAGAAATAGAACCAGTAGGAGAGAGAGAGAGACAGAGAGAGATACACAAGAGGAGATTTATGGTAGAAATTGGTTTATGTGACTACGGAGACCAGGAGGCCCCTTGATCTGTCCTCTATAAGCTGGAGAACCAGGAAAGCTGGTGATATAACTCTGCCTGAGTCCAAAGACCGGGGGCTCCCTAGGTGGCTCAGATGGTAAAGAATCTGCCTGCAGTGCAGGAGACCCCAGTTCGATCCCTGGGTTGGGAAGATGCCCTGGACAAGGAAATGGCAACCCACTCCAGTATTCCTGTCTGGAGAATCCCATGGACAGAGGAGCCTGGCGGGCTACAGTCCATGGGGTCACTAAGAGTCAGACACGAGTGAGTGACTAATAAGTACACTTCATACCAAAGGCCTGAGGACAGGGGAGCTGGCAGGGCTCGTCCCAACCTGAGTCTGAAGGCCAGAGGACCAGGAGCGCCCGGGACCAAGGACAGGTGAAGACAGGTGTTCCAGCGCAAACCCGGAGGACAGATTCGCCCTTCCTTGGCCATATTGTCCTATTCAGGTCTCAGAAGACTGGATGATCCCCATTAGCATCGGTGAGGGTGATCTTCTTTATCTTTACTCAAGAGGACTGATTCAGATGGTAATCTTTTCCAGAAATATCCCCCACAGCCACACCCAGAAAGAATGTTTAACCAGTTATCTGGGAATCCATTAGTCCATCACACTGATTGACCAGGAGTCCATGCCTTGTCAACCTGACACCCACATGCATCTCCCCAGAACCATTCTTCATGTCCTCATGGAGACGACAACGAGGTTTTTGACTCTGTCTAACCCGATACAACTATCCCGCTCTAACCCATAACACGCCAATAAGGACCAGCAGAGTGTGTCCTCCCGTGTCTCAGAATTTCCCGGGGAGGCATTAATCCCTCTTCACAGGAGACTGAGGTTCAAAGAGCTCAAAGGGGCTTATCCCTAAAGTCCTCCAGCTAAGAAAGGGCTTTTTAACCTCAGGTCGATTTGGAGGAAAAAGAAAAAAAAAAAAATGATGCACAAGGTGGGTTCAGGCCAACTTGTAGCATGTGGACTTTATTTTATAGGCAATAAAGTTAGTCCTCTTCCTGCGCCATAAAACTCATTCTTCTCTGCGTGTCTGCTTTGTATTATACATTCCGATCCCTCGCATCTTTCGATAACAAGTTTCCTTAAGGGAGAGATTGTGCTCATTGTTTGGAAAATGTAATCCACCATAGCATAGGAGATGAGGACTCCTGACACCTCTGTGCAGGGAGGTAGGGTGTGTATATTTCAGTGCCTGACGAACCATAACCTGTGAACGCTGTCTCGAGAGTGATGACAGCTGTCTAATATCAAATGGCAGACGTGTGTTCTTTCTGCCACTTAAACTCCCTGGCTTTGCTCTGAGCAATAAGTAACAAAAATAAATGCACATTTGCTGAATTTTTGTTGCATTCTATTTGGATTCCGATTGTTGAGATATAATCAGTTCTTTTATGTAATGGATTTTTAAAGTATATACTTGAATCTTTACCTTATGGTTTTTAGCAGCCATGGAAAAAGTCTTTAAATATTTTTAAAGAGCAAGAGGTGGGGCAGGAGGAGGGATATAAGATACAATTGTCAGAATTTAAGACCCAGTGCAAACAAACCTAGCTGGCGACAGATAGGAATTCTGAAAAGGCGGAAAATAAAATGGGGATGGTGCAACCACAAGCTTGCTTTCCACCTGAGTGTTTAATGCAACCTGCGATAAGCAGAGGAAGCTTGTCTGAAGGGCAAGGGTGTACCTGGGACTTTTGAGATCCTTCTGACGTGGTATGGAAAGCAGACTGCAGAGTGCAAGGGCGGAAGCAGAGAAATCAGACTGGAGGCTACTGCAGTGGTCCAAGAGAGAGATGATGGTGACGTGGTCCAGGGTAGGAGGTACGCAGGTGATGAGAAGCTGTTGGTGACTGGATATACTTTGGAGATCAAGCCAGTAGGACTGGATATGCAGTGTGAGAGAAGCAGAGCAGTCAAGGATAATACCAATGGTAGTTTGGAAAATACAAGATCAAGGATGGGGTCGCCATGTGCTGAGATGGAAGAAACTGATGCGAAGGGGATGGAGAGATGGAAGGTTCAGTTTGGACCCTGTCAATCTGAGATGCCTGCCTGCCTGCATGCTCAGTCGCTCAGTCGTGTCTGGCTCTCTGAGACCTCACAGACTGTAACCCGCCAGGCTTCACTGTCCATGGAATTTTCCAGGCAAGCATACTGGAGCAGGTTGCCATTTCCTCCTCCAGAGGATCTAACCCATCCAGGGATCCAACCCCAGTCTCTTGCATCTCTTGCTTTGGCAGGTGGACTCTTCACCACTGCACCCCTTGGGATGCCTGTACTGTGCTATGCTGAGTCCTGTCCGGCTCTTTGAAATCCCATGGACTGTAGCCCGCAGGCTCCTCTGTCCATGGGATTCTCCAGGCAAGATTACTGAAGTGGGTTTCCATGCCCTCCTCCAGGGGATCTTCTCAACCCAGGGATCCAACCTGCGTCTCTTATGTCTCCTGCGTTAGCTCTTGGGCTTTCCAGGTGGCACTAGTGGTAAAGAACCCACTCGCCAATGCAGGAGATGTAAGTGATCACGTGGGGATGAAGTCAGAAAAGAGAGGTCTAGGAACAGAGTAGACATGAATGACAATCAAAACTTCCTTTCTGGGACTTCCCTGGTGGCCCAGTGGTTAAGAATCCACCTTCCAACACAGGGGACTGGGTTCAGTCCCTGGGCAGAGAACTAAAATCCCACGTGTCATAGGGCAACGAAGCCTGCAAGACACAACTAAAGAGAGGCCTGCAACCTGATGCAGCCAAAAATAAACAAATATTAAAAAGAAGATGATAAAAAAAGAAGAAGATGATCAAGGATTAAGAGACTATAGGCTGCAATTTACATTTAAAAAAGAACTTCCACTCTACAAATGAGAAATATAAACCTTGATTAATTTAGTCACCTATCTCTGATCTCTTTCAGCCTAGATAGGGTTGGGAGGACAGTGGAAAGAGAACTGAATTTAGATTCAAAAGACATGGCCTCTCTTCCTTATTGTGGACCTTGAACTCGGCAGGTCACTTCTCCCAACCACTTCTGAAAACTGGGGGAAACACTGCTGCCCAGGTGACTGTAAGGATCAAATGAGACGATGATGAGAGTGCCATGAACTATAAAGTGCAGAAAACCTTGGTCACTGTTCAGTTCTCCCTTCGGAAATTCTCATTTCATCCTGGGCTTGCGCAAGCATATCATGGCTGTTCATTCACTCAACAAACAGTCCGTGACAGTCTCCTATGTGCCAGGAATTGGTCACCCAGCAACGAAAGACACAGTCCCTGACTTCACAAAGCTTCTTTTCTGGTCAAAGGGCGTGGTCAAAACTGCCACCTGTTGTTGAATCTTACTTCTCTTGGAATCCTTGCATTTTGTGTTCTGAAAAGTTTATTATTGTTTTATAATTTTTGTGTTTGTTTCTAAGAGGTAAGGAGAGATCGTTTCAGGTTTTAATTAGTAAGCACTGCCTCCCCTAAGAAAGTACAGATATGTATAGAATCATTGCTCTGCAATTTTTCTTTTTTTCCCCTTAATCATATAACTTTATTCATAAATACACACAGTGCACACACAATATACTTATACATATATCCAAATAGCTATTTTGTATGTATTTTTCTTTTCAATGTTGACTTTTTCAGTAACATGGGCTTTTCGTTAACTTATCAGATGGAAACAGCAGTAAGCATTCCGCTAGGGTATAAGTGACACCATGCAGTCTGAGAATTAAAGCAACTGACCTCCATGTGACTGCACGGTCCTGGAGGAGTGTCGCTGAAACCGAGCAAGGGACTGAACCTCAGCCTTATTCTTTTATTTTTTTTTGCAGGGGGGTGGGGTGGGGAACAAACTCCTATAGTGCCTGGTGTTTTAAGAGGAATTTAAAAATAATGGCTCCATTCATCTTTTTAAAGTTAGACGTTAGCCAGGCACCACTGCCTTTTTTGACATTTCAAGGGACCCTCTTAACACGGTCCTGGGGTGTGAGAACCACTGTTGGGAAGCACAGTGAGACACGCAGGGCTTGAAAGACTGGCATCACCACTTCCTGGCCACGTGACCTTAAGCAAGTCTCTACACTCTGCTGACTCCAACTTGCCCTGTCCCAAACAGGAGATGCTATGAGGCTTCTCTGGCAGTCCACTGGCTAAGACTCTGCTCTTCTAACGTAGAAGACGTGGGTTCGATCCCTGGTTGAGGAACTCAGATCCCACAAGTGATGCAGCCAAAAAAGAGAGAAAAAAGGGGGGGACGATAATATTTCCTATCTCCCGAGGGTAAATGACACCAGACCCATCAAGGCCTTAGCTTTACACAGTCAGCTCTCCGGATTTGGCAGCCAAAGGGGAGGCCTGGGGCCACCAGGCCCTGCCGAGCCCTGAGCTTTTTGCTAACGGAGGTGAGGGGGTCACCCAGCCTGCTGGGCTCCAGAGACGCAGGTCAGACGGCTCCAGGGACGCGGGTCAGACGGCTTCAGGGACGCGGGTCAGACGGCTCTGGACACAGGTCAGACGGCTCCAGAGACACAGGTCAGACGGCTCCAGAGACGCGGGTCAGACGGCTCCAGAGACACAGGTCAGATGGCTCTGGACGCAGGTCAGGCGGCTCAGAGACACAGGTCAGACGGCTCCAGGGACACAGGTCAGACGGCTCCAGGGACACAGGTCAGACGGCTCCAGAGACACAGGTCAGACGGCTCCAGCGACGCAGGTCAGACGGCTCCAGAGACACAGGTCAGATGGTTCCAGAGACACGGGTCAGACGGCTCCAGAAACACAGGTCAGATGGCTCTGGACGCAGGTCAGACGACTCAGAGACACAGGTCAGACGGCTCCAGAGACGCGGGTCAGACGGCTCCAGAGACGCAGGTCAGATGGCTCCAGAGACGCGGGTCAGACGGCTCCAGAGACGCAGGTCAGATGGCTCTGGACGCAGCTCAGATGGCTCTGGCTGTGAAGGTCTGAGCGGGGCTTCCCAAACCTATCTGGATATGGAGACAAGTCCTGGCAGGAGGTCATGAGGGTCTGCCCCCGGGCGCTGCTATGTGGCAACAGGGAAGGACCAATGTGTCAGATATTCTGAATCAGGCAACTACCTGGATACAGGGAGTGAGAGAGACAGAGGGTCCAAAATAAAGTCATGGTCCTAGATGGCCCAAGAACCAGTGATGCCATTAACAGAGACGGATTACACAGAAAATGGAGAGGCGAAGACAGACGATGATACTCAGGAGGCCGAAGGTTCAGAGAGGGGTTAGATGGAAGGGAGTGTCCGTGGAATTTGGGGATGTGGCCGCTTCTCATCCTTAAATAACCTCTTCAGAGCAGCCCTGCGGTGGTAAGTGAAAATGACTCTGACCTTAATTAAATCTAAACTGCAGGAATAAATTAGCACCACGGGAGCATCTTACTAAAGCTCCTCTCTGTGCTGAGAAGACTCCCACTCCAGCTCAGACAGTGCCCTCTGTTGGACGCAAATCCTGATCCTTCTATTAAATTCCTCAAGAGAAGGATAAGAGAGGAAACCAACGTTTCCTGGGAGCATCCCAAGCATTTTCCATCCATCATTCTGACTTTGTCATCGTGATTACTCTGCGAGAGGGCTACCTCTTCCAAGGGAGGCGGAACAGGTCCAGAGAAGCTGGGAGACACTGGCACCATGCCCCATATCAAAGTCCGAGCACAGCTAAGCTTAGAGGCCAGGTTCAGGCCCTCGCCCACTCTCCTCAGCCGTCCTGTACACGACAGGGGTGATCTGGTGCAACGGAAATCAGATATTCCTCCGAGAGGGGCTGCAAAGTTACCTCAAGTCACAGTCCCTTTCTTAAGGGTCTTAAGACACAGTCTTAAGGACCGAGGTTCAAATTTGACATGAACATAAGTATTCAAAGCTTTCATTCCTGGTTCTGTGCAGGACACACCTCCGGTCAAGGTAAATGGCCATCGGGCGGTCAAAGGTTGATAAAAACTCTGCAACTGGAGAGAGAAGCAGGAGGCTGTGTTCTTGGCTCTGTCTTCAGTCACATGTGACCTCGACCAGGCTCTGCCCATCGTTTCAGCCCCTTGATCCGCATAAGGAGGGATGAGTTCAACAGCACATCTTTCAACTCTAACATCTGTTGATGACGCACACTATCTTTCAGGAGGATGAACTTGGCAGTACCTAGAACATTTCAAATGTGCACACCCACTGATAGATCTGCTGGAATCTATCCTAGAGGAATGCACGCCTCAGCGCCCAGGACACAGGGACAGGACGTTCACTGCGACTGAGTAATCACGACCTAAGGGTCGGCCATCACAAGACTCCCTAAAGGAGGCGTGACGTACCTACGTGGGGCTAAAATGCAGTCAGGGAAAAAGAATGGGGAAGGGACGAAAGCAGTGAGTGGAAGTATCAACAACGTGATATGTTGCTGAGTGAAACAAGCAAGATCTGTAAAAACATGTATAGTGTGTGTGTGTGTGTGTGTGTGTGTGTGTGATCCCTGATGCCTCAGCAGTAAAAGGGTCAGCCTGCCAACGCAGGAGACCCGGGTTTGATACCTGGGTTAGGAGATCCCCTGGAGAAGGAAATGGCAACTCACTCCATTATTCTTGCCTGGAGAATCCCCTGGAGGGAGGAGCCTGGTAGGGTACAGTCCATGGGGTCACAAAGAAGCAGATACGACTTAGTGATTCAACAACAGCAGCTGAGCCCATTCTTATACGTATGTGTGTATAATGAAAGATCTAAAAGGCAAGGTAAAAGGGAGAGATTTTCCCCCTCCAAAAGGCTTGACTATACACAAATTATTTTTGCACAATTTTTAAAGGTTACTTTCCATTCACAGTGATTACAAAATACTGGCTCTGTTCCCCGCGTTGCCCAGCACACGCTGGGGCCTCCCTGACACCCGACGGCTGGTGCCTCCCACGCTCCCCACGGTGCCCCTCTCTGCTGGTAACCGCTGCTTCGTTTTCTGCGTCTGAGTCGGCTTGTTGGGCTGTCGCCACTGGCTTGTTGCACGTTTCAGATTCCTCATGTGAGCAGTATCACAAAATGCTGGACTTACACAATACAAATTATTTTAAAATACTTCGATTTGTAGAGTAAGTCTATGTGGACCTCATCTAAGCACACTGAGCTAGTAAGCCACCAAAAGAAGTCGATGGTGAGAGATTTGTTCACTATTCCTAAGACGTGGCTGCATCTAGCGTTTGTGCTTCAGCTCCACCCAACCATCCGCAGGCGCGGACAACTGGACACTTGTGGACATTCAAGCTGGAGACTACAATTCTCAAGACTGCTTCTGGTAGTCATATGATTGAACCCTCTGGGTTCCTGCAAAATGATTTATGTCCCTCTCTTCGGGGAATTGCAGACCCATGAAGACATTTGTCACCCTGGATTGTGAGTCTGCCCTCAAGCACAAGTCTACTGAAAATGTGGGCTACTGAATCTTACCCTAAAAAACTGGGGTGTAGGGACTTCCCTGGTGGTTCAGTGGCTGAGACTCTGCGCTCATCACGCCGGGGGCCTGGGTTCAACCCCTGGTGAGGGAACTAGATCCCACATGCTACAACTAAAGAAGCCATGAGCCACATATGAAGACCTGGCACAGCCAAATAAATAAATATAAAAATAAATTAATTAAGTTTAAAAAACGGGGCTTAGAAAATTGGGAGTTGTTTTTTACATTTCGCTGGTATTTTTAAAGTTCAGTTTTTTCAAGTAGATCATTTTTATCCTATTTTTACAAAAGGGTCCATCTGTGACAGTGGGGAAATTTTTGAAACACAGGTCCTTCAGCACTCCTGTTTGACAAGCACGGGTCCCGGAGAGAAGACCCTTGTCCAAAGGACGTCAGGCTCTTCCAGTCTGCTGCAGGAATGAGTGCGTCTGCAAGGGATGGACAGTAGCAGGGACAAAGAGGAAGCCACAGGAAGTGCCCGGGATGCAGGTTCCTCGTTTGGGGTGGGCGCTTAGGACTTCCAAGTTCCTGGCCATGCTTGAGATGAGCATCAGTAAGCGTCATCCTCTTGACTTTAGAGATGGAGCTGGGAGACCTTTCCTCCCAGGTCATGGGACTGACTCACCAACGAGGTTCACATACAAATAAGAAGTAACATTAACTGTTCACGACTACAAAAGTCAGAGGTTAGTAAACCCAGATAATCACCTCCTCACCATCCTGAACCAGGTAATAGGAAACGCAGGCCGGTCGCACAGGATTCTATTTTAAGGATCTGAGTAGACGCTGCAGGGCGCATTCACCTCCAGGGTGATGAACTGGATAGTAGGCA